GCGAGTGTGAGATCGCTGGTGCAGCTGGACCCCGACGGCAAACGGGGTCCGAGAGAAGGGGCTGCCCGGGTTCCTGGGGTGGGTCCGGCAGGGTTTGAGGCCGACACAGCAGATGCCCAGCCAGTGCCCACAGAGCTGGGGGCTTGGGTAGGTGACCCGCAGGTACCGAGCTGTTGGGGTCTCATCTGAAGCTAGTCCTGGGCAATGTCTCTTTGCAGAACGGGCCATTCTGGTGGGAGCCCCTGTGGCCGTGGGGACGACTGTGGATACTTACGTTGAATAGTTTAATGTCCGAGTTCATCAGTTGCATCCGCTCGATGCTGCAACAAAAGATGCCCGTGAGGTGGCCCCGGGAACCCCAGCCGTGCGGCCACCGGCTACTTACTGAGCACCTGCTGTGTACCAGGCACGGCGCAGGCCTCAGTGGCAGGTGCCGCTCCAGGATACACACAAGAGCCCCACAGGGGAGCCCAGGCCATCCTAGAAGGTCCCCTTGCTCCCCGTTCAGGGTTGTGGCTGTGGAGGGAGGGCAAGCCCAGCGCGGCCAAGTGGTCTGACGTCTATGTTACAGCAAATTTACAAACTCCAGCCTCGTGGGGACTGATCACACCTCGCCCCGAGCCTGGTTTATCCTGCGAGGCTCCAGTGCACGACCCTGAACTTGCTCTAGGGCAGAGGAGGGTGGTGGGATGGGGGACAACTGCAGGGGCACAGAGGCACTTCTGTGCTGGGCTCCAAGGGCTGTCACTGCTGCTGTCTTGGAGGTGTCCAGTCTGGGCTGCCCGAGGCCTGGGGATGGTGCCCCGCAGGCCGATCCTGAGCAGGGCCGGCTCACCCCGAGGCTGCTGGGAGGCCCTTCCCTGTCCTTCCCTGTCCCCTGCATTCAGTGGTCGGTGGCAGGAGATCCAGCAAGGCACTCGCCGCCCAGCCTGGGCAGCACCCACTGAGCTCCACCTCTGGGCACTCAGGCCCACGGTCCGGGTGGGGGGAAGCGCTCATTTCGGCTGTAGGAGCTCCGCGGCGATGCACCTCACCTGATGTCATTAAAGCTGAGCACAAGTTGGTCACCTTCGGTGTAAAACTGAGCTTCTGATTTCGCTTCCTGCAACAAGAGAAGCCACGCTCTGTCCCTCTGAAGAGGGTGTGGGGTGGGGGGACCCGAGGAGGCTCTGGGGTCCAGCACACCTGGTCTGGACCTCAGCGGCTGGCCCCTCGGGAGAGGGTTTGCCCTCTCTGGGCCTCACTTTCCACATCTGTGAAACGGGACAGTACTTGTCTC